GTTACTATATGTATTTAGTTTTACAAAAATGTAAAAGGTTGAACATATTCTGTGTGAGGTGGGCGGTAGGAAAATGGCATCTTTCATACGCAATTGGTTAGAGTTCTAATTGGTGCAAACTTTGGGAGACAATTTGATGATATGTATCAAATACCTTTTCATTTTGTTTTGTTTTGAATATTGTTGGAAGTATTACATATGTCCCCTGTTTTCCCCCATTGACCCCATCCAGCCTGCCCCACCCCAGGCCTTCACCACCCTATAGTCTGTGTCCATGGGCTATGCATATATGCACACAAGTTTGTTTGTTTTTTTGAAGTGTATCCATTTTATTTTTTTTCTGTACAAACTATAAAAACATAACTTTATTCACATTTTTAAAAATCATCTTTAATTTGATTTGACCTACACATCCCCATCTCATTTCACCCATTTCTCAAATCTCTCATCACATCGCCCACACCTTCACCAGACTACAGAATCTACAAGTAATTAGATCTAACACCTAAATAGAGCTTAAATCAGTGATAGCGAAACTTTTGAGCTCGGCATGTCAACATTTTGAAAAAACCCTAACTTAACTCTGGTGCCGTGTCACATATAGAAATTTTTTGATATTTGCAACCATAGTAAAACAAAGATTTATATTTTTTTGTTAGTTTTTTATTTTTTTATTTTATTTTTTTATTGCTTAAAGAGATTTATATTTTTGATATTTATTTTATATACTTAAATGCCATTTAACAAAGAAAAATAAACCAAAAAAATGAGTTCGCGTGTCACCTCTGACACGCATGTCATAGGTTCGCCATCACTGGCTTAGATAGTTCTCTCTCTCAAAGGTTTTCTCACTTCCCTGATAATTCCTCAAAAAATAAAATAAATGCTCTTCACTCGTTCCTTCCATGTCACTTTCACATTTCATCAGCACATCAGCACAACAGACTTTTCGTTTCAATCCAAACAAGACTAGAAAGAAAGAGTTCCTCGCTGAGCATCTTGATGCTACACCCACGAGTCTGGGGACCCTGGGTACTGTTCTGCTCTATAAGAAGGTCATTTAGTGGAATAAAAGTCTACATAATTTGTGGTCCATTTCAGTCCATACTGAAATCAGTAGAAGCTGGAAAGTGAACTCGATCATCAAAATAAGGAATGAGGAGACTGCAAATACAATCTGTATGCATCAAACTTCTTTCTGTGGGAGTCATCTTGACTATAATACAGCTGTTGATGCTGTAGCCATCTATTTTTTTAAGGGGAGAATGATTTTTATTTTTTTAATATATTTTATTTATTTTTTTACAGAGAGGAAGGGAGAGGGATAGAGAAACATCGATCAGCTGCCTCTTGCACACCCCCTACTGGGGATGTGCCCGCAACCAAGGTACATGCCCTTGACCGGAATCGAACCTGGGACCCTTGAGTCCGCAGGCCGACGCTCTATCCACTGAGCCAAACCGGTTAGGGCTGTAGCCATCTATTTTGTTCTCTTGCTGGTGAGGAATAGGAACTGATGTAAATTGGTGAAGGTTTGCTGGAGCCTGACTGAATGATGGGTGACATCTGTTGGTTGGTGGTAGACAAGGAAGGGTGAATCGGTCTCGCTCTAACATCAACACAGGTGTAATAAAATGGTTCTGATTCCACCCATCCTTTTTATAAATGCCTGGAGGTCCCGATTTTGCCATAATGTATTCAAGACCTGGGCTGCTGCCTTCACCACTTTCAGAGATGATCTGTCTCCTCTGCCCTTGGTTATGTTCACCAGCTTTTTGATGCCTCAGAGTCGTCCAGGGCACACAAGTTCTTTAGTTGATCTCTTCCCACCCTCCCCCACCTTCCCTCTGAAATTCTGCAGTCTGTTCCATGCTTCCATGTCTCTGGATCCACTCTGTTCATCAGTTTATTATGTTAATTAGAGTCCACATATGAGTGAGATCATGTGATACTTGTCTTTCTATGACTGGCTTATTTCACTTAGCATCATACTCTCCAGGTCCCTCCATGCTCTCAAAGAGTAAGAGATTCTTCTTTTTTACAGCTGCATAGTATTTTATGTACCAAATACTTTTAAAAGGGTTTATACTTCAACCCAACAATTCCCCTTCTAAATATCTATTGCACAAAAACAAATGTACCCGGATATTTATTTCAGCACTGTTTATAATACTAAAAAATGAGAACAGCATAAAGGCCTATACATCGGGGACTGGCTAAAATAGCTATGGAATATACATTTGTGGATTATTATATAGCCTACTGCCCAAACCCTGCCTCCTGTTTTGGGAGAGAGAAACTTAAAGCACAAAAAGGTGCCCAGCCAGTGTGGCTCAGTGGGTGAGCGTTGACCTATGAATCAGGTCACGGTTCAATTCCTGGTCAGGGCACATGCCCGGATTTCGGGGTCAATCCCCAATGTGGGGTGAGCAGGAGGCAGCCAATCAATGATTCTCTCTCATCATTGATGTTTCTATCTCTCTCATCCTCTCCCTTCCTCTCTGAAAGCAATAAAAATATGTATTCTTTAAAAAGCACAAAAAGGTGTGGAAGGAAGGGAGAAAGAGAAAAAAAAACATCTATGCAAGAGAGGAAACATTGATCAGTTGTCTCCCCTACACACCCTGACTGGGGATCGAACCTGAAACCCAGGTGTGTGCCCTGACCAGGAATTGACCTTTCTATGCACAGGACAATGCTCCAACCCACTGAGCAACACTGGCCAGGGCTGGAAACATTTTTTAAAGGATTCCCCAGACACCTTTGAAAAAAGAAAAAAAATTAGGCAAACAGCTGGAAAGATTGATTTTTTTAAAGTTAGACATTATGAATAGAAATGTTAGGAGTAAAAAGTATATAATACAGTATAGCAGAGATTTTTAAATGATAGGATAAATTTATTGCAGTAAATCTGAAAAGTGATTAACTGAACATTGTGCTAAGAAAATATAACTTACTCATGAAACAAAACACCTGAGTACAACTAAATTCAGTTTCGAGGAAATTGAATCAGTGGTTTAAAATCTACCCTCACCCACATGAAATCCATTAGATCTAAGCCGTTTTACCAAGCATTCAAAGAGCAGCTATTCCTAATGTTATGCAAACATTTATATAGAAAAATTGTAATGTTCTCACAGCTCACTTAACAAAGCATCATATAATTTCATGCATAAATACTGCAGTTTGTAGCCTTAAGAGAAAGGGCCTCGTTCTTGTTCAAAAGACAATGACAATACCATTTTCCCACCCAAATGGTTGCAGGGTGTGCATCTGCAGCTTTTTACTGTTTTATTGGGGTCACACCTTATACATAATTTTGTCTACTGGCCTTTTCACACCAACCTGCTGCAGAGCGGGTTCCACACTGCAAGATGTTCACTACCCTGGCTGTGTGGGCCCATGTGGTCCAGAGTGTAGCCTCCTCTTTCACCACAACTTTTGGCAGCTACAAATGATGACGCAGCCCAGCCAGCGTGGCTCAGTGGTTGAGTGTCAACCTATGAACCAGGAGGTCAAGGTTTGATTCCCAGTCAGGTTGCGGGCTCAACCCTCAGTGTGGGGCGTGCAGGAGGCAGCCAATCAATGATTATCTCTCATCATTGATGTTTCTATCTCTCTCCCTCTCCCTTCCTCTCTGAAATCAATATTTTTTTTTAATTTTCAATGATGGTGTAGTGAGCATGTCTGCAATGTCAGAGTCACAGTACCTGACTATCTCTTACAGTTAAACAGGCTGAGAATGTCCATTCTGCCAAACCGGTCCACCCAGGAGTGGCACCACAGGCCTGTCCCCTGCACCTTGCCAGCAGGGCCGCAGACATCATTTGTTGCACTTTTGAAATTACTTTCTGTTCAGTTGGAGTCTGTGTTGTTTTAGTTACTGGTGAAAGAGAAACGCTTTCCTATTGTGCTAACTGGCCATCTGGATTTTTCTTAAAGCATCGAGCAGCAGGTGTGTGAGCAACAGGGAACAACATAGGTTCCGGCAGGATGTGCTTCTAGCTATCTATCTACTTCCCAAAGCCAGGCTCATGAGAACCAAGGGGCCACAGCTAAGAAGGCAGGCAAGCTACTTCCCTCACCGGAAGAATCCCACCACTTGTTCCGGAAGCTCAACCAGAGCAAAACCAGAAAGAAGAAAGAAGAATCCCTCTTCTGGGCAAACAGCCTGGTTCACAATCTCTGGTGTAGAATGTAGAGTTGGCCCCTATAGAAGGAAGCAGGCAAAAGGGAAGGTTCAAAAGAGCAGTGGTTGCCTGGCCAATGTGGCTCAGTGGTTGAGCGTCAACCTATGAACCAAGAGGTCACAGTTCGATTCTCGGTCAGGGCACATGCCCGGGTTGCAGGCTTAATCCCCTGCATGGGGCGTGCAGGAGGCAGCCGGTCGATGATTCTCTCTCATCATTGATGTTTCTATCTCTCTCTCCTTCTCCCTTCCTCCCTAAAATCAATAAAAAAATATATTTTTTTAAAAAGTGTACTTGGGAGAAGCATCCCCCCCCCGCACCCCATCAGACCATGAGGTGGCCACAGCTCCAAACCCAAAGCAGTGGAGGAAGGGTGGGTAAACGTCACTACACAAAGATAACAAACTTCAAGTCCAAACCACGCTAGTACCAAGTCACGGTGGGAAAAGATCACTGCAACTTCCACCACACGGAAGAGCTGACCCCACTAATGACCAAAGCGCTCCTACAAAGCGAGGAACAAAAGACTAACAACCCAAGAGCAAACTGGTCAACAGATACAAACAAGCCATTCACACCAGAATTGAAAAGGACCCCGAAGCTCTGAAAGACGCTCACGCTCACTCTTAATGAGAACTACATGATGGCAAAAGCCCACCGGTTGACACCCCTCACCAGGGCAAGGCTATGGGGAACGAGGGGAGAGCAGGAAACCACACTGGGGGGCACTGGCACCATCTACCCTGTTTGCAGATGCTCAGTGTGGCCGCTTCTAAGAATCTGACCCAAAGACACACAAGGTTGACCCAATGCATTTTCACTGTGGCATTATTTATGACAATAAAAAGACTGGCAACAAGGCAAATGCCGTGGTGCAGCCTCCCAGCGGAAGAGCACACAGCCCAGGACTGTGCCCGCAGTGCATGCGCAGGAGCTGGGCCAGAAGGAAGGGCTCCCTCCCATCTCAGGCTGGGAAGCAGTCCTCTCTGAGAGCCTTGACCTTGATTCCTGACTTCCCCAATGGAGGTGGAAGAGGGAGCCCAAGAGGCAAGTGGTTCAAGCAGACAGAACGGACAAAAAGAGCACAGCATCAGGACTGGCTGGGACCCCGTGGGCCCTAAAAGAGGCAAACCAGCAGCCAGGGAAGCTGAAGCGGAAGTCCCTGCAGCTAGCTCGTGGCGCTCAAAGAAGCAGCCTGCTCTTCGTCACCTCGCCTGGAACGAGGCAGGCGGGAGAGGGAAGCGGAGATTGCACTGTCCTGGGCTGGTCGCCGGCAGGCTGCTCTACTGAATGCACTCCATGACGTGGATCTGCAGGGTGTCCATGTCAGGAGCCTGATACTGGCACTTGGGGCAACAGAAGTCAGGTGGCTCCTCGGGGGGCGTTCTCTGGATGAACGCGGGGTGAAAGGACTGGTGAGCTGCAGAAGGAGAAGAGGCGCTGGTTACAGCACAAACTGCAGGGGGGGAGGGGACAGAAAGTACTGAGACCTGATGGGACCATCAGATCCAATTACCAGGGTCACTGCCACTAGCACCTTCCCTTTAGTGACCCTCTGGGGGGGGCAGGGCGGGGAGTGTACCAATGAGAAGCAGCCCATTTGAGCTCCCACCACCCAGGCTCCCCAGGCTGCCAGCACCCTACCCTTCCCAGCCCCTCCTCCTGCAGCTCTCACCTTGGGCAGGGGGCTGGGCAACCTCTACATGCCGCTTCCTCATATCTTCAATCCTTTGAGAAGAGAAACTATGCAATCAATACGTGCAAGCCAAGCTCTGAGTGGCGTACAAAGCTGATGGAAGGACAGGGCGGCAGGAGGAGAGACAGAGGGCCAGGAGCCCTCAGTCTCTTGCGCTCACTGCTGGAGCCCCCACAGCCCCCATCCCGCTCTGCTCTGCATGCGCCACGTGCTCCAAGACCTACCTGGCCGACTCCTGACAGCTGACCTTCAACCTGCTGTACTCCCGCTGCAGCTGCTCCAGCTGCTCCTGCAGCAGCTCCTTCTTCTCGGCCAGCTTCTCCCGGGCCTGCCGCTCAGCCTGGAAATCAGCCTCGTAGATATCCGCCTGGCAAAGCCAAGAGAGAGGAACGTGCCCACCACCCGTCAGCCACTCCTTGGACACTGTGCCGGGCACAGGGGCGAAGGCAGAGCCCGCTTCCACCCTCCCATGGCCCATGGCATAGAGAGAGTCCCCAGGTGCACTGAGAGGCCAAGGAATAGTCAAGAGGTCAAGGGGCTCGAAGAGCTTCTGAGAAGCCACTGCAAAGTGACACCAGAGACATGCCAGGTGCCAGCGACAGCAGGCCCGGCCTGCTCACCCGCATGTAGGCCACAGACCCTCACCTGGGCCTTGAGCACCGGAACGGTCTCCATCACAATCTTGTGCTGCTCAGCCTCTTCCTTCAGCTTATCGATCAATTCCTGCTTAGCCACCAGGGCCTCCTCGGCCTGCTGGAGCTGCTGCTTGAGATCTTCCAGCTGCATTCCCTAGGGATGGGCGAGGGGAGCTGATGAAGCCCGAGCTGGCCCAGGCCTGGGGTCGTGCCACCCCCAGGCCAGCTGCTACTTCAGGCGAGAAGAACTAAGAGGAACAAAAGATCGGACCCAGGTGGCCCGCCAGCCACAAGATGTCAGTGTGTGCAGGGAATGGGAAGGTGGAGGCTGAAGAGGACCTCTGAAGTCATCTGGCACAAGCTCCCACCCAGGCCAACACTCCCTTCCCAGAATCCCAGCTGGACAGCCCTCCTCCAACCCATCAAAGGCCAAGAGCCACACTCCCTCCTGAGGCTGCCTGCTCCACGCTGAGCTGTTCTCCCAAACTAACACTCCACCACGCACCCACTACGCCAAAACGATCGGTCCTTCCACTCTGCCACCTGATCAAAGGTCTGCTGGTCCCTCCCAGACACCCATATACACACATACTCACACTCACACACAGACACTCGCACTCAGACACACACATACACACACACTCACAGACACTCGCACTCACACACACACACACTCACAGAGACACTCGCACTCACACACATACACACACTCACACACAGACACTCGCACTCAGACACACATACACACACAGACACAGACACTCGTACTCAAACACACATACACACACAGACACTCGCACTCAGACACACACATACACACACACACACAGACACTCGCACTCAGACACACACATACACATACACACACACACACTCGCACTCAGACACACACACACACACAGACACACGCACTCAGACACACACATACACACACTCAGACACTCAAACACACACATACACACACACACACACTCGCACTCAGACACACACAGATGCACTCAGTCATAGCACAAATACATGGGCACACAAACAACATACAGACACATACAGATAGACACATGCACAGATACACAGACACAGCCCACATGCATGCACACACACCACCCAACCATCCCTCTGGAGATCTAAGGGCCACAGTTTGGCAATTAACTCTTCCTGTGTAACTGGTTTCAGGCTTTACCCTTAAAAGTCTCTTCTGCGTATATTCGTGTTTGACCAGGCTGAAGAGGGCCTCTGAGGTCATCTGTCACAAGCTCCCACCCAGGCCAACACTCCCTTCCCAGAATCCTTCTTAAAATGTGATCACTAAAAACTGTACTCAGCCCAGCCGGCATGGCCCAGTGGTTGAGCGTCGACCTATGAACCAGGAGGTCATGGTTCGATTCCTGGTCAGGGCACATGCCCGGGGTTGTGGGCTCGATCGCGGTGTTGGGTGTGCAGGAGGCAGCCGATCGATGATTCTCTCTCATCATTGATGTTTCTCTCTCCCTCCCTCTCCTATCCTCTCTGAAATCAATAAAAATATATTTTTCAAAAACAAAAACTGAACCCAGTAGAGGTCTCATAAGGACAAACTAGAAAAGGGCTCCCCTCTGACTTCAACACTGGGATGGAAACATTCCCAGAGAAATCTGAGCCAGGAGCCAAACTGGTGACGGCTAGCAAGAGGACCCAGGCCAGGGAGGGGGAGGAGACCCAACCCAGGCCACCATAGGCAGCGAGCAGCACAGCCCAAGTGTCCCCATCTCCCCGTAGTCTACCCTGAGCCATCACACTGCAGCCTTGACAAAACTCTAAGATAAGTCGAGTATCCCTCCCTCGCTTTTGGGGGAGCAGGCCCCATGGGAGAGGAGCCAGGTCAGCTCAGTCCTAGGCAGTTCCTGGGGTGTGCCCGCCATACTCACTCGGTTTCGCTCATTGCTCATCAGGCTGCTCTTCATGCGGTTGTCATAATCTTGGAAGAGCTGGTGATAGGCTGCCTGGAGTTGCGCCAGCTTCCGCCTAAGAAAAAGGAGCTTTCACTGGAGGAACCACCTTGTCCTGGACCAGCCACAGCTTTTCCTGCTTCCAACTCCGCCCTCTTTCTTCCTCCCACAAACCCGAACGGGGCTCCCAGGGCACATACGTGCCTTAGAGGCCATCAGTTCCGAGGCACGCTTGGCTAAATAGTTAATATTATTTTCCTCATAACTAGCATATTTTGAAGTATGAAAAGAAATGTTTATAATAAAATGGAACTGTCTGCACTCTTTAAAAAAGTCAACTTCATACCCTAGCCAGTAAGGCTCAGTGGATAGAGTGTCAGCCTGTGGACTGAAGGGTCCTGGGTTTGATTCTGGTCAAGAGCATGTACCTCGGTTGCAGGCTCGACCCCTGACCCTGGTTGGGGCACGTGTGGGAGGCAACCAATCGATGTGTCTCTCTCACATCAATGTTTCTCTCTCTCTGTCTCTCCCCCTCCCTTCCACTCTCTCTAAAAATCAATGAGAAGCCCGGCCTGGTGTAGCTCACCGGTTGAGCACTGACCCAGGAACCAAGAGGTCACCAGTTCAATTCCTGGTCAGGGCACATGACTGGGTTGTGGGCTCAATCCCCAGTGAGGGGCATGCAGGAGACAGCCAATTGATGATGTTTCTCTCTCATCAATGTTTCCATCTCTCTATCCCTCTCCCTAGAAATATTAAAAATCAATAAAAATGTTTAAAAAATAAATGAAATAAAGAAAGAAAGAATCAATGGGGAAAATATCCACAGGTGGCGATTAACAACAAAAATAGTCAACTTCATGAAAAACAGAAAGGCAGGACTAGTCAAAGGTATACCAACAGAAGGAATGAAGGATCCTGGACCAGACGCCGTTAACACGTGGGCCAAACAGTAGAGTCTGAATATGGCCTGGAGAATGTTGTCATTTCAAGTATGAATCACTTGGATGTGATAATGGCTAAGGAACTGAATCCGGCCCTCAGCCACAGACAGTCCCTAGAAGGGCTCTCCCACAGGTAGAAAGCCTCCGACATCCCTCCGGTATCCATCCCTCCCATGTCAGGCACCACTCACTTCTCCTCCGAGGCAACCTGGCGCTCCTTGCGCAGAGCAGCCTCCATGCTCTGGTTCTGCATGCGCAGCTGGTCCACCTGCACGCTGTGCTGCTGCTGCAGCGCCTCCCGCTCGCTCTCCAGCTGCCGGGCCTGCTCACTGGCTGCCCGGGCCCTGCATGGGGGAACAGGGAGGTCACACTGGGGCCCCAGCAGGAGTGAGGGTGCTCACAGGAGCCCTGCTGTGCCGAGAAGGACTGCCGGCGAAAGGCAGGTGGGAGCCAGAGAGCACTAGAAGCTCTGTAGTCTGAGGAGAGAGGACGGGCCCTGGGAGCATGGGGAGGAGTCTTGGTTCAGAACATCCTGTCAATGCAGAGTCAACACAGTGTGAGAAAGAGGGAGGTTGCCCTAGCTGGTTTGGCTCGGTGGATAGAACATCAGCCCTTGGACTGAAGGGTCCCAGGTTCGATTCCAGTTAAGGGCACCTAACTCAGTTGCAGGCTCGATCCCCAGCCTCAGTCAGGGAACATGCAGGAGGCAACCAATCGATGTCTCTCTCTCACCTCAATGTTTCTCTCTCTGTCTCTCCCCTCCCTTCCACTCCCTCTAAAAATCAATGGGAGCCCTAACTGGTTTGGCTCAGTGGATAGAGTGGCGGCCTGCAGACTGAAGGGTCCCAGGTTCGATTCCGGTCAAGGGCATGTACCTTGGTTGCGGGCACATCCCCAGTGGGGGGTGTGCAGGAGGCAGCTGATCGATGTTTCTCTCTCATCGATGTTTCTAGCTCTCTATCCCTCTCCCTTCCTCTCTGTAAAAAATCAATAAAATATATTAAAAAAAAAAAGAAAGAAAGTAAAAATCAATGGGAAAATATCCTGGGGTGAGGATTAACAACAACAAAAAAGAAGAAAGAAAGGAGGAGGCACTGTCACTGGAGACAGCGACAACTGCAGGGCACCAGGTTAGGGGCAACGTGTTTGTGTCAATGCAGGGACCCAGCCAACAACCAAATGCAGGTGCCAAGGAGACCTGGGGCTCAGGTTCAGGCTGATGCCATCCATTATGGAAGCCCCTTCAAAGGTGAAGCAGTGATCCCAGAAGAGGATGCTGCTGCGGCCAGGGGAGAGAAGCTCTCAGGAACCACCCCTTAGGGGCCAACAGGCGGGGGATGGGGGCCCAGCCAGAGCAGTCTCCGTGGAGGGGCCAGGAGAGATTGGGAGGAGAGGAAGTGGAGGCAGCCAGAAAAAATAAGCCTTTCTAGAAGGTGGCAGGGGGAGCAAGGTAAGAAATGGTTGGGCCCTAACCGGTTTGGCTCAGTGGATAGAGCATTGGCCTGCGGACTTGAGGGTCCCAGGGTTCGATTCCAGTCAAGGGCACATGCCTGGGTTGCAGGCTTGATCCCCAGTAGGGGGTGTGCAGGAGGCAGCCTCAATAAAATATATTTTTTTTTAAAAAAGAAATAGGTTGGGGGTTGTCCAGCTAGCGTGGCTCAATGGTTGAGCATTGACCTATGAACCAGAAGGTCACGGTTCGATTCCCAGTCAGGGCACATGCCAGGGGTAGCAGGCTCCATCCCCAGTGACTGCATGTGCAGGCAATCCATGATTCTCTCTCATCATTGATGTTTCTCTCTCTCTCTCCTTCTCCCTTCCTCTCTGAAATCAATAAAAATATTTTTTTGAAAAGAAAAAAACGGGTGGGGCAACTGGAGGGGGAGGCAGGGTCAGTGTGCTCAGGCAACTCTTTCCCTCCCAGTCACTATTCTAGAAGTGGCAAGGAAGTGACTGGCCCACCTCAGTAGCTCATTTGGAGACCCAAACATCCACCCCTGTGAGGAGAGCCTCCCACTGGCCTGCCTAGGGGGCAGCAGTAGCCTGGGCAGGAAATTCCTCTTTCCCTCTGTACTCCTGCTGTAGCAGCTCGTCTCTTCTCCCCTGGGTCCCCCCACAGCCCCCAGTCTTCCGATTCAGGCCCCGTATTACCCCATAGCCCCCAATCTCCCGTCTCCACACTCATATCCCCCTAAATCTGCAGTTCCAGGTTCCAGCATGTCACCCTGCCATCCCAAGGCCTTCCATAGGCCCCACTGTGAGGGCAACAGTGAGTGTTTCTGGGTGGGGGCAGGTTACTGGGGGTTTTTTCCCACACCTGTCCAAATATATATATATACTACTATAGATATACATTTACATTTACACTTACATATACATATACATATACACTGAGTGGCCAGATTATTATGACTGGCCAGATTATTATGACCACCCCATCAGTACTTCGTTGGGCCACATTTTGCCTTCAATACTGCGGCGATTCTTCTTGGCATTGACTCCACGAGATGTTGAAAGGTGATGCGAGGAATCTGACACCAGGCCTGATGAATAGCACTGTCCAGTTCTATGAGATTTGATGGTTGTGGAACCAGCTGCCTGATGGCTCTTTTAACTTCGTCCCACAAATGCTCAATTGGATTGAGATCTGGTGATTATGGGGGCCACCTAAGCAAGGTAAAGTCTCCCTCATGTTCTTGAAACCACTCCTGCACAATACGAGCACCGTGGCATGGCGCATTGTCTTGTTGGAAGAAGTCATCTCCATTGGGATACACCATCAATATGATAGGATGAACTTGATCAGCAACGATACCTAGGTATGTTGTGCTATTCAGACGTTTATAATGGTCTAGCCCTCTAGCAACTTCAGCATAAAATAGCTAATTTGCCTACAAACGTCAGGTGATCATAATAATCTGGCCACTCAGTGTATATATACATGTATATGTATATGTATATGTATGTGTATATGTATATGTATATGTATATGTAACACACATTTCCATCTGTTGTCAGATAAAAGTTAGGTGCTGATGCCCAGCCAGCGTGGCTCAGTGGTTGAGCATCGACCTATGAACCAGGAGGTCATGGTTCGATTCCTGGTCAGGGCACAGCTCAGCTAAGCACCTGTCTCCACGCCCCTGTGCTCACTCACAGTCCTCCAGTCCCCCCTCACAGAGGAACCCCCGGAGACACCTAAATGGCCTCAGTCTTCTCAGGTGCCCTGACAGAGGCCTCCAGGTGGGCGTGCCCTCGCCACTCACCTGGCTTCCAAAGCCTGCCGATCCTTGGTGGCAGCCTCCAAGCGACTCTGGCTCTCCTGGAGCTCCCCCAGCAAGGACGTCACCTGGGCTTTCACCGAGGCCTTGTCCTCAGCCATCTGCTACATGAAAAAGAGCCATTTCCTGTCAGCAATGCTTTCTCACCAGCTGCCCACGCTTGGTGGCCCCAAACCCTGGGGCAGCCTGCAAGTGCTAAGATGCGTCACCCTGAGGGCTTCTCTCCTGCCCTTGGCACTCCTACTCATCTCACCTCTCGCCTTCAGAAGTTGCCAAACCCCAGCCAGGCAACTGATGCAATGGAGAGGGGTCGAGTCCCATGAGCCCCTCCTCATCTCTGCGGATGGGGTATGGTGAGACCCAGCACAGAGCGGCCTCAAGTCTCCTAACACTGACGACCAGGCCATGAGGACTGAGCCCTGCAGGAATCTCTCAGCCTCTCTGAGACCAGATGCCAAGGGAGGCGAGACACAAAGACAGCGACAAAAGTACACGCTCTATTCCACAGGCCCGGGGCCACTAGAAGGTAAGGTGTTAATGACGCTATTCCCAGAAGACCTCTGCCAGCCACAAAATTCAAAAGTTGTCTAGCCCAGCCGGTTTGGCTCAGAAGGTGAGCATCGACCTATGAACCAGGAGGTCACGGTTCAATTCCCGGTCAGGGCACATGCCTGGATTGCAGGCTCAATCCCAATGTGGGGCGTGCAGGAGACAGCCGATCAATTATTCTCTCTCGTCATGGATGTTTCTATCTCTCTCTCCCTCTCCTTCCTCCTCTGAAATCAATAAAAATATTTTTAAAAAGAAAAAAAAACATGTAGATCAAGTTTTCAGGCTAAATAGTAAAAAAAAAAAAAAAAGAGGCCTTGCCGGTTTGGCTCAGTGGATAGAACATCAGCCTGCAGACCAAAGGGTCCCGGGTTCCATTCCGGTCAAGGGCACATACCTGGTTGCAGGCTCCTCACTGTCCCGAGCCCTGGTCGGGGCTCATGCAGGAGGCAACCAATCGATGTGTTTCTCTCACACTGATATTTCTGTCTTTCCCTCTCTCTTCCACTCTCTCTCAAAATCAATGGAAAAATATCCTCGGGTGAGGATTAAAAAAAAAAAAGAGTTGCTTAGCCAAGTGGCTCAGTGGTTGAGTGTCAGCCTAGGAACCAGGAGCTCACGGTTCCATTCCCAGTCAGGGCACATGCCTGGGCTGCGGGCTCAGTCCCTGGTAGGGGGCGTGCAGGAGGCAGCCATTCGGTGATTCTCCCTCATCATTGGTATTTCTATGTCTCTCTCACTCTCTCCTCCTCTGTGAAATTAATTTTTAAAATAGGTTTCTAAACAAAAGATCTCGAAACTCGCAATTGCCTGATCTCCCTCATCAAACAGTCCGGACCAGATCCCCGTAACCTCAACCTGCTCTAGCCCAGGGTTGAGACTCAGTCCTCCCCATCACTGACCCCTGTGCAGTAACCCCTCCATAGTAACCGCCACTCCTGAGGGTGCTCTGGGGGACCCCTCTGGAAACACTGACATCCCTGTGGGTTTGCAGAACGCACAAGGCTGGTCGCACAGGTGGCCAGAGCCCCTAGCTTGGCCGCTCCTGGGAGAAGGCCTGCCTGCCCCCTGGGCTACCTGCTGGCATCTCTTCAGGTGCTCCACCTCCTGCAGGGCCTGCTCCCTCTGCCTCTTCAGGTCCAGCTTCTCCAGGTTCAGTCTCTCCACCAGTTTCCTGGCCTCCTGGAACTTCTGCATGAGGAACTCCTTCTCCTCCCTCTGGCTGCCCTGGAAACGCTGCAGCTCCTCGCAGCACTCCCGCAGCATCTGGTTGCTCTGCCGGATGGCATCTGGCAGCAGAGGAAACAGCCGAGGGGAGGTAAGCCCTGGCAGCCAGCCTGCCAGCCCCCTGGCCTGGCACAGTGCATTCCCCATAACACTGAGCCGCCTCTCACACACAGTCTCATTGAATGAGAAGCTAGAGATGCCACCTGGGTACCTGGGGCTACACCTAAGTACCAAAGGAGCAGATCTGGAGCCCCGGAGGTATGATCAAGGGGTGAGGCCTTGTCACACAGAGGAGGGAGGATGCACCACACCCAGGGACAGCCATGGTGCCTGAGGGGCACAGTACAATGGCCACTGGGACCTGGAGAAACTGCCCCCGATTCAGGTGAGGATGTGGGGGGTGAGAGTGGGGGCTGTGGTGGAGACAGGGATGGGGTGGCCAGGAAAAAACTCAACCCCCATCCACATGTGGGGAGGAGGCAGCTGGAGGACGGCCTTCAGCTGAGGGCTCTTCACAGAGACACCTGGCCCAAGGTCAGGAGCCCAAGACTCCTCCCTTTCTTTCCCAAAGCAGCCCATCGGCCCCTCCCAGGGAAGACCACGCCCCTTCCCAGGGCAGGCTACGCCCCTTCCCACAAAAGGCCATGCCCCCTTCCCAGGATAGCCAGCGCTTAATGACTAATCAGTATGGAAGTATAAACACCTGGCCACATTGGCCCAACTTGGGACAACTCAGAAGGGTCATTCCAGCTCCAGAGCTTGGCCTGCACTGCAGCCCAGCTTCTCCCTCTGCCCACCCCTGCCTCTTCCCTGTCCTTCCCTTCCCTTCTCTTCCTCTTCTGGTCCTCAGAGCACTCTAAATAAACTTCCTACCTAGCCGGTGTGGCTCAGTGGTTGAGCATCTACCTATGGATCAGGAGATCATGGTTCGATTACCGGTCAAGGCACATGCCTAGGTTGTGGGCTCGATCCCCAGTGGGGGGCATGCAGGAGGCAGCTGATCAATGCTTCTTTCTCATCATTGACGTTTCTGTCTCTCTCCCCCTTCCCCTCTGAAATCAATTTTTTTAAAAAAGAAACTTCCTGCACATTCATCTCTGTCTCACAGTATGCTTCCAGGGAACCCCACCTGAAACACTGAGGGAGGGTGACTGAGCTTGAATTGCTAGCTGGCTCTCAGACATCCGTCTAGACCAGCGGTTCTCAACCTGTGGGTCGCGACCCCTTTGGGGGTCGAAGGACCCTTTCACAGGGGTCGCCTAAGACCACCAGAAAACACATATATAATTACATATTGTTTTTGTGATTAATCACTATGCTTTAATTATGTTCAATTTGTAACAATGAAATTGGGGGTCACCACAACATGAGGAACTGTATTAAAGGGTCGCGGCATTAGGAAGGTTGAGAACTACTGGCCTAGACCCAGCAGACACAGAGGCACAGGTGAGCAGAATAAGCCTTCCCCCAGCAGGACTGGGTCCCCTGACTTTTTACTCCACGCCCACTGTCCTCCTCACCTCGGAGCTCTTGATTCTCCTCCAGGCAGCGCTGGAAGGTCTCAGGAGCACCCTGCTCCGAAGGCAGGTGGAGCATGGCCGGCTTCCCCAGAGAAGACTCTTCACCCATCATGTCCTGGTCCCCAGCCGGGCCACCGCTGGGCTGCACCATCTCACACAGTGGACTCTTCCAGGGGGGCCTGCTCATTCAACAAGTCAAGGTTTGGAAGAGAAAGGCAGCAGGAGCGTCACACGGGACCTGTGCAGATTCCCCTGCAGGACAAGGAGCGCAGATGTCAGCAGCTCTGGGGCCATCCTGTAAGCAGAATGCCAAGCACTCTGTCTAGTGTAACAGGATGTGAAAATGGGCTTTTTGGTCTAAGAGGTGACCCATACTCCCATTCCAAAGGGAGGTGCAGGCCCATATGTGGGACTTGGAAAAGCCATGGTTCAGCACTGATTAGAAACTCTTGTCTAGCACCTGTCTCTGGGCTGTAAGCTGAAATTAAGAATTTCATGCCCTGGCCGGTGTGATCAGTGGTTAGAGCACCAGCCCACACACTGAAGGATTTCTGGTCAAGAGCACATACCTCGGTTGCAGGTTCTATTTCCAGCCTGGCCTACTAGAGGCAACCAATCACCAATTGATGTGTCTCTCTCACATTGATGTTTCTCTCCCTAGCTCTCCCCCTCCCTTCCATTCTGTCTAAAAATCAATGGAAAAATATCCTCAGGTGAGGATTAATAAAAAATAAAAAAAGAAACAAAAGACCACATATTGTATGATTCTGTTTATATGAAATGTATAGAATAAGCAAATATATAGACAGAAAGCTGCCCAGTCGGTGTGGCTCAGTGGTTGAGCGTCGACCCATGAACCAGGAGGTCACTGTGTGATTCCCAGTCAAGGCACATGCCCAGATTGTGGCCTTGATCCCCAATAGGAAGCGTGCAGGAGGCAGCCAATCAATGATTCCTGCTCTCCCTTCCTCTCTCTGAAATAACTAAAAAACAAAAGTTTAAAAAAAAAAGAAAGCTTAGTGGATGTTTAGAGGTACTGGAGATGGAGTGATGGAGGTGATAGCTAAAGGGCACAGGGCTTCTTTTTGAATTGATGAAAATGTTTTGGAATTACTAGTGAGGATTGTACAACTCTGAATATCCTAAAAACCAGTGAATTGTACACTTTAAATGGGTGAATTCTGTGGTGTATGAATTACAACTCAATAAAGCTGTTCTTGAAAAATAATAATAATGAGACAGGATTATAAGGGGTATAAATGAAACAAAATTAGCCATGAGTTGATAATTGTTCAAGCTGGGATGTGGGTACATGGGGTTTACTATACTATTCTTCCTACTTTTGTACATCTTTTAAATTTTCATAATAAAATGCTCAAAGTTCCATATCTCTCCCTTGGATTACTGCAATAGCCTCCTAACAGGCCACCCTGTTCCTAACCTTGCTCCCTACAGTCGGCCAGAAAAATCAGCCTAAAAGAGTAATTCCAATCACGTCCCTGCTCTAATCAGACGCCTACTATGGCTCCTCATTGCCCTCCGTGTAAAAGCCAAATTCCTACTAGAGCCTAAAGATCCTGTACCATCTGATTCCCATTACTTCCTCTCCAAGTGCCTTACTCCGCTCCAGCTACAGTGGCCTCTTTGCTGTTTTTAAAACATGCCAGGATGGCCCATTCATTCTCGAGTCTCTCTCACACACACACGCACTCACATGGTATGAGGTCGGGTAGACATTAATCGTTTTGCAAAGTGAGCAAACGGAGGCACATGGAGGTAAGATAGCTGCCAAACTGTATTGGGACCTTATTAAAGAATTTAACAACCTCAAATGCAGTCAAGTTTGATGAACAGAAAATGTCTCCGAACTAGAAGAGTCATCCACGAACTAGGGGCGTGGTCAAACTCCGCGGCCGCGGAGGAGGGCCAAGCGGTACAGTCAAGCTCGCCGCCAAAGTAATCTGGGTCCAGCATCGGCCCCGCCTGGGCCAGTGCCCTAGCAGCGGGCGGCAGAAACGGACCTGGGCCCAACAGGAGTAGGAAGCCTGGACGTCCGGGGGAATCTAGGAGGCGGCGGAACGCCCACCGATGGTACCCTGTCTTCCTGTCTTCGGGGAAGAGGGCCACACCTGTCAGCAGAATCGATCCGACGTGAGAAGGGCGGGAGCAGCGGGTCGCGAGCGCCCCTCGAGCCCGTCACTCCAAGCAAGTCCCGATTCCGCGGTAGCTCTTCCCCTCTCCGGCCGCTGAAATCCCCACTTCCGGCTTCCGGTGTCGTTGCTGTGGTACCCGGAAGTAAAACACGCAAGCCTCGCCCTACTCAGGAGGCCGGCAAGAGGTGTGAAGGAGGCTGTTTCCCAAGAAAGCCCGAGCCCGCCAGCCTCAGCCGGCCCGCAGTACGTTCCCTAGTGACGTGTACCACCCGCTGCTTTTCCCGGCGTCAAGCCCACACTTCCCCTAGTCTCTCCAGCGGCGGCATCCAGCCCCCGGTCGCTCGGCCGTCCCGCCCCTGCAAGGGGAGGAGCCACGACGAGGCGATTTAATAGGGCTGGTTTGACCCCAGCCGGCGACCTGTCTGGACCAGGAGGCAGGAGGCAGGGCCATGCCGTAAACGGGGGTCCAGGAGGCGTGGCCACGCCGCCGGCGGATGTGGAGCCCTCCGCGAGGGCGCAGGGCGACCGGGGTCGGAGGAGAAAGCCGGTTGCAGGGGCCGGGCCGAGCCTGGGATGGATGAGTGAGCGAACGGCGCAGAGCTGCGCCCGAACCTGCTAGGCATCAGGTACGCGG